AGACCCTGGCGAGGGACAGCAGTGAATCTGTGGCGCTGTAGAACTGTGAGCAGCCAATTTGTTGTTCTACCATTGAATTTCTTCGGTTGTAGCAAGATTTGATGGATTTGGCATGTTAAGTGTAGTGGTCCCTTAAATCTTGAAAATGTTTTTGTTACAAGCATGATTTCTTATAAGAACATACGATTGGTATAAGGCGGCGAGGTGTTGTGCAAACTTGATTTATTTGTCATGTTTGATTTTTTGCCATCAATTTGGTGGTTGCACTGAAAAATATGGATTGGATTGGAAGATCAAATTTAGTTCAAAGGGGTTTCTATGAATCTTTGGTGTCTGTAATACATGATTTGGGTTCCAATGTATGCCCTTTGTTAAAAATTAAAATCCAATAGAACAAAAAACACACTTGGCTAAATGTAATGGTACTCTTGACATATTACTAAGAGCAATAACCCGGCTAGGGATTTATCAGAGTAGAGTCCTTTATCTGATATCAGATGGAAAGCCAGTTTTCTGGAGGCGTCGCTCTGATTGGAGCCACCATATTGAGTGTCTCAGCTGTGGTAAGCTGGCCCGAATCTGCTGCTAAACATGCCAGCATGTCGAAGCAGCAAATATAGTAGCTGGTTGAGTCCTGATATTATGATAAATGCTTCCAAGGTTTGCTGTGATTAAAATTTTGTGCATGTTAGAATCGTTTAGTGAAAAATACCGGAGCAAGTTTGCTATGTTAGACTGGACGTGATTTTGAATACAATTAAGCAAGATAGACAAGTTCGATTTCATTCAGTCCAGTCCAACTTACCGATATGGTACAAGGGATTTCAGAACGATGACTTACTAGGCGTTTTCCTCTATGTCCTCCCATTATAATCTGCTTGCAAACAAGACTGTATTGAAATGGTGTAAAACATGGATATAAGTGAAGACTTCAACTGATGTATTAGGCTATTAGCAAGTATGTTTATTAACTTTGGGATGGGGATGAGGAAATCTGTACCCAAAAGCAAGGACAGTCGTAGCCCAAGCAAGAATTGCCGATGAAGCTGCACTAGCGAGACTAACACTATTCCACACCCGTTGGTGCAAAAAACCCGAAAAGACTGAGCATGCTCCGATCACTCCAGCAATTAAAGCAAATATTAAAAGGAAAATTGTTGAGGGATTCCCACCAAGATCTGGCAAAAGGTAATTTGCAAGGTGATGCTTACGTCTTTCACACAAAACTCGTATATATATATAAAAGATTGTCAAAAACATGTTTCATTTCAAAATTAAAATGGATAAGATTGCTCGACCGGAAAAGTTGGAGAAGCTCCTGTGCCAATTACTTCTATCCTTTTATCATCTAACCATATATAACACTCAGAGCAACATATATACCCGATTTGAGAAGAAAAATACATGGTTGTATCAAAATACAAAATGAACATGCTATTTATAAGAGCACCCCATCTAAAAGCAAGCTTAACACTATAATGTTCCATTAACGCACTAACGACATGTTTGGTAGAGGATTGAATAGTACATAATAGTAATAAAGAATTTTTTATTTGTTAAATCTTATTAATTCTAGTTGTTGACCCCAAAAAATGCGCCAACAGAATCTCGACCTCTCCTTCCTCTCAAGTGTGAAGTAGCCACATATATATAGGAAAATGATAATGGGCCACGTAATGTTAATTGTCCAGATCCAAGTTCCAAGCCCAATATGTAGTTGTTCAATTAAAATAAGTCAATCAATTAATTAGTCAACGTCGGTTGATGTAGAAAGAATCCCTCCATCGTGGCGCATCCACGTAATTTATAGGTGTAACACTAGTGTCAATCATGAAATTTATATTACTATCTAAATGCTACTGAATGAAGTGTTTGTACCTTTTTTCTTAACACATTCATAATTTTATAGCTGCATCCCCATATTTCTGGTAGGGCCACCCTTCCCTGATAATGAGATACAGACTTGCCTTTTTGGCACTCATGCTATCTATTTTTCCTTTCTTTTGCACTTCTTTTCATGGTAAGAGCATGTTTTAAAAGTTACTTTTGGTAAACTTCAAGAGTTTTACCAAAAGTAACTTTATTGTTCTGTTTCCATCAGGGAGAAAAGGAAAGAGAGGCAGAGATTAATGGCAAATTCGAAGAAAACAGAGGCACATGAACAAAGGAAAGTAATTAACAAGAATCAACACAAAATGGCAACTAATCGAGAAAACTAACAGTTGCATTTCAAAAGTAGAAATGAAGAATTATGTGGAAAAGCGAGAAAACTGACGGGGGTGATCCTGCTCGCCGTCAATGTATTTATCGAGAGACCAACCGGCGAGTCCCAGTAAAATGAGATACACCACAAAGTTGACTGCTAAGAGAGTTCCCATTAGGCTTCTTCCACCATTTTCAACCGCCATTTTCAGACTTCCCAACAGGCTTGTTAATTTGTTCTCTCTGTGTTCTGTTGTCTGTTTTTGCAATAAGATGAGACGAGAATTTGTGTTGATATAAAGGGCCGGGGAGGGAAAGAAGGCGTTGTTTGGGGGGGCAGGGGGAAGGGGTTGATTATACGTGTTGCTTGTGGAAGACTAAAGCCTACAGGTGTTGGTTTGAAAGGCAGGTGCTTGCTTGCTTTTGACGTCAGCTCTCTGCCGCCGAAGCCGAACTACCAATTCTGAGCGTTTTGTTAAGGTTTTTGTTTTTTTGTCTCCTATGTACTATTTATGAAGTTTAAGAGGCTGTTTGAGAGTAATTTTGAGAATTGATTTTTTGATCGTTAGAAGAAAAGTGGGGTTCACTCGTGAGAGAAGAAGTCAAATATGACGGCTGAAATAGTGAAATAACGGTCAAAAAATTAATTTTTTTGGGTGAAAAAATCAGGTCCAAACAGGCCGTAAAGTTTAAACGTTTAAGCCACTGAAAAAAAATAAAAATATATAAAAAATTGGCTAATGTAATCGTGTCTTCAACACGGTGTCTTGTGTGTACAAGTTTTATTCATTTTACTTTTCTTCAATGCCTGTTTAAATGAGTGCAAATATAGAGATTTTGAAGTTAAAAAGTGTGTCGACTTTTGATTATCCAATCTAATTAGCCTTTTATCTAAATACTAGTATTAAGTACGTGATTTGCGCGTCTTATATATCGGGTGAATTATATAAGCAATATTTTTTTGAAAACTGTTGAGATAATTGATATTATTAAAGAAAAAAGTATAATTATTAAATATAATGAATATACAAATAAATTTTTTTTATGAAAATGTCTATATAATGTGAAAATATTGAATAAAATGAAATAGGCTCGTCTCATATGAAAAATCGAGGAAGACAATCAAGTCCACGTCCAAGCAAGCTGTCCATAGAAAGAATCCATTGTGCTAATCTTTTAATTACAAGAACACTTTTCCGAATACAATATTTTTATCGTCTCATGGCTTTTCATTTTTTTATTTGTAGTTCACATAAACACTAAAATGTAAATCATATAAAAATATTCAAACATATGCAAATTATTGGAACACATAATACTACAAGTAAAACACGAAAGTAGTATAGATCTAGCCCTGAACGAAAAATCGAACTGTATATCAAAAAATAAAATTTATTGAAAATAATCATTAAATAGATGCAAACACTAATTCTTACATAACTGAAAGAAACTACTATGGAAAAGAGTTTTGACATGATATGGACATAAATATAAAATTTAGAGAATGATAATAATTTTGAGGCATAGTAATTCAAAAATTTAAATATTAAAAGAAAATCGATTTAATTTGCTCGATGAAAATTTGGAATATTGATTTTTTGATTTCACATAAAATATAGAAAAGCATAATCAAATACAAAATGGAATTATTAAAAAAAAAAAACATATCTTGATGATGAATATCCAAAAATATATTATACATAATAAGTAAGTGGATTACCATAATTTTTTATGCATATACAAAAATAACATGAAATAATAATAAAATACCCAACACTATATTAATATTTTTTTTCTGAAACACAATCAATCTACTATTATATTAAAGTAGACCTTTATATATTGAAATATTTTTTTTATGAATATGTATTATATATATTTAGCTTCAATTTTAAGTAATTAAACTTAAATTGATTAATATAAAGTATTCTAATGTACAGTAATGAAATTTATATTTTAAAGGAGATAAAATGAAGTAGAGTTATATTAAATTTTTGGACTTATAATATAATTGGTAATTAGTAACGATTATTGTACATTTAAAATTAAAAGCGTGGTTGTCAAAAATAAAATATAAAAGGACAAAAATGGAAATTAAAAGTTTTCCATTCCAAAGTTTCAATTATTGACATTGTCGTTTTAATACTATATATATAATGTTAACATTTAAGAAGCATTTTTATTTTATATCATGGGCATAAATTTTAGAATTTGTTACAAATGAATGTAAATGATGTAAACCAATAATGTTCTTAATCATGTTTATGTTAAGGGTTTAGAATTCTTGTTGGGACCTTTTATCTATCTCTTGACTCAAAATGGGAGCAAGTTTGAAAAAGGATCTTAGAGGAATGCTTGGTAAGGTTCTATAATGCCTGCTTCTGGTTCTTAGAGGCCAATTCGACGATTTTTTGTTCAATTTCTCATGGAGTCAAATTCTCATCAGCACGGGCCAAGGGAATGGCCTCCTGGCCTCTTGAGTATCCAAATCTGGGTCAATACCAGCAAAAAATCTCTAAACAAGGTTCTAGTACCATGCCAAATATGTCTGAAGAAGAAGAGCAAAGCAAATGAAGCATGCCCAACCCCTTGATTGTGGACAGGTAAATTCATATGGAATTTACCTCCGAAGATTAATGGCAAAAGGTTGGTTTGTTTATCCACGATTGGATAATTATCGATTCGATCTGGGCGATCGATAACGAAATAGTATCGTGAGGGAAGGGTGAAAAGAACTCCCAACCGTCATTAGTCAAATAATTAGTTACTTACTATTCAATTTTGATGAACTAAAAAAATACCATTAACTATTTCTTTTAAAGGTAATGAATGTGATTTTATTTCTGTGATTATTCGATTTCTTTAAAAATTGTTGACCTCGATTTTTCCTTGTGAATATATAATTTTCATTCTCATTGCAAGTATTTTTAGTTTTTTCTTATTTTAACAAAGATAAATGAAGACAATAACACATATTCAATAATGATTAAAAAATATTATTATATACTATTGTTTTCTAAAATATATATATTTATATAATTTCTTTTAATTGTATGTGATAATATTTTTATTAAATAATTATTAATAATTATGTTTAGTGGAAATTAATTGACTTAATTTTCAAAAGAAATAATAATTATTGATTATCTTATTTAGAGGAAATAAATTGAATCATTTGGTATTTTGTAGTTAATTATAAATGTGGTATTATTATTTCTTTTAATTGTATGTAATAATTTTTTCTATTAATTGTGTACTAATAATTGTGTTTAGTGGAAATTAATTGACTTAATTTTCAAAACAATAATAATTATTAATTATCTTATTTAGAGGAAATAAATTGAATCATTTGGTATTTCATTTTTATCTAAACTTAGGTATACACATCATTAATTATCAATCAAATCAAATTTTAAATAAGGGTAAATAATAAAAATAGCATATTAATGCAACCTTTCATTTATTTTTATTTTTATTTTCTTTTTGTAAACCAAATGAGGATATATTGAATATATAGGTAAATATATAATGATATAGTTGGTATTTAAAAGTTTCTCCTCAATTCAATAGATAAGATTATTAAAATAATTAATATCTATGTAAGGCATGCTAATATCTACAACAGCTTCAATTTTTTGCGTTCAATAGCATTGCCAATTTGCCATATTTAGCCATTTTCTTTTATCCATTACCAATGCAAATTACATCAGCCAATTACAGTGTTATGATCTCTGGTAGTGCCGTAGAAGTAGGCTAATTGCTTGCTTCCTCCCTCTAAATATAGCTATATGGTGTGTGCGCTCTCCAGTCTCAACGACAAATGGCACACATGCACCGAGTTCACATTCCAAAAAATTGAAAATTATAAGTTTTTTCCTAGTGGACAGTTCACAAGATAAAATGAATCAGCTGGTTGATGATAATAAATTGAATTTTGCTATTTGTATGTCGATGTCGGTGTTCACTCCCCTCACATGAGGAGGGGCTCACGTCCAATAAAAAATGGTTGACCCCCTTTGTGTGAGGGGCGTATAAACGTCGGTGTACGTGTAGTCCAATTGTAATAATTTTATCATTTGACTTCTCTCCCACTGAAATTTTGGTAGAGATAAATTTTGTGAAAAAATGATTTTTTGAAAAATGTATGATTCTTCATTATTCAGTTAGCAACGAGTTTCCAACTAAATACAATCCAACAATAGGATATGTAGATAGTCCCTACGATGGAGAGAAGGGTACGATCAACTAGTAATAGAATAAGACAACTTGCTCTAGCCAAGACTCCACCTTTTTGCTCTTTGTGGATAGAATGAATTTCGAGGAATTTAGATAGACCAAATGCAAGAATGGAGGGACAAGAATAGTAACTATAGTACCATTGGAAAATGAGGCACTTGTAGTAACATCTCTACTAGGTGCATGGAACTGTTTGCGCATAATAAAGTAATTAACCACTAACCAGGACTCGATTCAATTTAAACCGAAAGAGAATTTGATCAAATTTACATATATATCAAACAAAGAAATGCTTTGTTGAAAATGTCAATGATATATCAGAGTTGATTATTTCTTATATATAGTTGGTCAAACTATTTCTTCACTTAAGTTAATGTTTGAACAATTTCAAAAATATGAAAATACTTTTGAGTTTCTATTTGATTTAAAAAGTTTACAGACTGTAAATGATAATTGTTTGAAGTAATTATGTGATAAGCTTGAAGAATTTTTGGGGGTAATTGGCACAAAACGTCCTAATTTTTCATATTTATTGTGGAAAACATTTTTACCTTTCATTTTTTAACATTTTTGCTTCTACTTTTCACCTTTCTTTGCATTGAACGTTCTTTTCACTAATTTTAATGTAAAATGATCATTATGCCCTCCTATTTAAACAAAACAAAAAAAGAAAAGAAAAAATTACAACTGTAGGCCCAAACTTTTAAAAAAGTGTAAATGAGTCCAAATCTTTGCATTGAACGTTCTTTTCACTAATTTTAATGTAAAATGATCATTATGCCCTCCTATTTAAACAAAACAAAAAAAGAAAAGAAAAAATTACAACTGTAGGCCCAAACTTTTAAAAAAGTGTAAATGAGTCCAAATAAAAAAAAAAAAAAAAAAACCCACCACCTTCTTTCCACACCTCCCACTCTCCACTGCCGGCCTCCACCTCAACCACGGCCACCCAACCGCCACCTAAAACACTGGAGCTTGCATCACAAACATTCCTTGATTTTTCTATGTATAATTGCTCAAAACGGCGCATCATTTCTTTGGCGATTTAGGTGAATATTGCTCAAAAGGGCAGCTGGGTATGCACAGGTCTCGCCGCTATCAAGGTCTGTTCCTCATCGCCGCGGTTCCATCCCCCCTCTACTTCCTTGTCCACTGAGACACCCACGACCAACGCCCAGCGAAAGATTGGCATCACTGTCGACCTCAGTGACGAGTCTGCTTTCGTTGATATACATACAAATATATACACTTGATAAAAAAAATGTATAATACCA